AAAGAGCATCTTCATGGTTGTTCAAGCAAAATCTTGTGGGGCATGGGGCTGAGAACTCTGTGGAAGAATATGCAAAATACACCACTTGCACAAAAGTGGCTAACCTCACAGTGTATTTATCTTGTGCTTAACGTGCATGCTTCATGTATTTCCTATGCGCTATTTTTTAATTTATCAAGTCTTTTCAATCACCCATACCTTGAGCACCAGATACTTCAATAATGGTGTGCAGTCCTGCATCCCTTCATGATGAGGTCAGTCTGATTCACGTGGGGATGGATGGAAAATTATTAACTTTGCTGGAGGGCTTTTTTCCTTTCATACCTTATGTAGTGTGTGTCTTGAGCTACTTCAGCTGCAGAAGAGACTGTTTCAGTAAATCTCTTCATAACTGCCAACGTTGGAGTTGTTTAGGACATTTTGCCAGTACCTGCTAATTTCTGTTGTTTGCATTTTGTCCTCTATAGGTTTTGAGATTAAGTTGGCACTCTGATATTTCTCTTATAGTAGACACAGCCATACAGATACAAGATGGGCTGTTTGCTCTTCATGGCAATATAAAGTGTTGTAAGGCACCTGTGTCAGTGGCTTCCTTTTAACTGAGACCTTACTGTTTTAAACATCCAGGTTTAGATACCTCTGTATAAATAGAAAGACCAGTAGGAGATAGTTCTGCCCTAGCCCTGACATGTCTAGCCTTAAACAGCAGCAGGGTCTTAGTAGTTTTGTAATAGGAGAATTTACTACAGCCATTGATGAGACAAACTAAAATGATGAAATAAAGAGGCATATAAAATTGAAAAAATGGAAAAGCCTGTGGAAATCGTGCATGTTTAGTCCAGAGAAGTATAGTCTGATTATAAACTTACCTGTCCTTCCAGACGTAAAACAGTATTACTGCTCAACAGAAGACAGTTGTTCTCACTGATCAGGAAACCAAAAGCAGGTGTGAAGATCAGTTAAATATTAAGCAGTGTTATATGTTTAAGTAAATATATTATGATTTGTAACACACATATATAAAAATAAATAAACTGTAACCAGGATTGTACAACTGCAGCAGACAGCTTCAATAAACTCCCTAAGAGTTACTGGCAGCAGATGCGTTTAAATCAGGGTGCAGAAACCTTTTTTGGATAACAGGGCCTGAATAGGAGCAGTGGGCCAGACTTAAATCTAGTTTATACTTCTGTGCACAGGGAATGACAACAGTTAATAATGCCATTCTATATTCAGCTGCATGTATTGCCTTCTCATGGTGCAGGATAACTGTGTCACTATTTAGGGCTTGCTTCCTCTCCTGTGCTTGTTTCTGCTCCTTTATTTCTCAGGATTTTGGTGACTCCAGCACTGGAGTCCTTGCTAGGCCTTCTGAGATCTACTGTAGCCTAAATAACATTAACATCACTGAACTTCGGACTTAAAAAAGTAGGGTTTGGGGGGTTTTGGATGGTTTTGTTGGGTGTTTTTTTTTAACTTACCCCAGGGGAATCAGCTCTAACCGTAATCCCTCTAGAGATGGTGGTTGGGTTAAGCTACCCTTGTCCTCTTTGGTGGCATAAGGAGTCTAGCCCTAGCTGCAGGATGCTTGAGCCTAGACTGCGAGAGATCCCTCGGTGGCTGAGCATCATGAAATAGGAGTTTGCACCATTGAGGGTGAAGGGGGACTGAAAGCCAGGACTCTCATTCCTCATGTCTGTGATTCAGCTGCCATCACTATGTTGAAAGACCACCATGTACACAGAGCTGAAAGGTCTGGGAGTTGAGATTTAGTGTTTCCTGGGGGCTAGCTCTGCATACAGCTTTTTGGATAAGCCAACCTTCAGTCTAACCTTTCTCACCCCTCATGTCAGGCACCTAGCTCTGGGTTTTCAATTCTACACCATGCACTGAACGTTTAGGCTTTTCAGTGCTTTCCTTGTGCCTAAGTGCTAACATGATTTTTAAGGACCAATTGCTGCACCTTTTAATTAAGCACGTGTTTCTTAAAGGATGCTTTTGTTTACTTGTTTGTCTTGGTGTGAAACATGATTGAATGAAGGTGGGCTGTATTCATTTCTTTGACCCTAAAATAACGCCAGCACCAAAACAGAGGAAATGCTTTTTAATTATTTTCTCCATGTACATTGGAAAGAATTGGAACTGAACAGCCAGTATTTCAAGTTAAGTACAGATTGATTCTTGGAGCCTAATTGGAGAGATTTATTGACAGTACAGTATTTGGATAGTTATAATAGACTCCTATTCATTATACAGTTGATAATTCAACAAGTAGCTGATTCTAATTTTCCGTGTTCGTTATACCATTAAGGCTGACTTTATTAGCCTACTCAGGGATGTTTAAAAATAATTAACCTTAATTTTTTAAAGTGGAATGTGAGACTTCAGCTATTAAAATCCAATTCTACTTTTACTGCTCCAGGGCATTAGATACATGGTTCCAGAATTCTGGCATCTTATTAATGCAGGATAGCACGGTACTTGAAGAAACTCAACGTTTGATTTTTACTTTATGCACCTGTAGCTTTTCTTATACAGGTAACCTCATCTGTGAATGAGGTTCCCTCCTTTTAATTAGTTTTGGGATCAGGCTGTAAATTCTTGTTGTGGTGAAGCATGGGGTAGGCCAGTGTTTAATGAAAACATCACACACTCCCTGGTGATCTCTGCCTGCAGACAGAAGATTCAGTTTAGAACATTGCCATGAGAAAATGATAGGTGGCTTTTCAGGCAGAACCTGCTTTCTAGGGTTCCAAAACTAGGCATGCATTTCTGCAAAGCAGAGTTTAGGAAAGGTTTCAAAGCAGACCAAAGTTAAAGAGTTACCTGATGGTTCAGCTTTGTAGCACTTAAGCCTGCTGGGTGTTCTGCAAGGATCCATTGTACCTAGCTGCCCTCCAAAAGCAGAGCCGCAGCTTTGCATGCATTACACCAGCTGTGTTTTCAGTAGGGCTTTACAAATTGCTTAATCCAAGTTAGGCCCTTTCTGGAAGCTCTTTAATCCTCCTAACATTTGCATAATGATCTCAATACTGTAATTCTTGTGTGACAGTGTGTTGAAGCTCTTTTTGACATACATTAATGATAGCACAAGAATAATGGAATACCAAATGACTTCATTGTCTTGCAGGACTGGGAATGCCATAAATTTCAATGTTTAAAAAAGTGTGGGGCTGTGCTCACTCCTGGTGTAATCACAGTGACATCTCTAGAGCTAGGTGAGGCAGGCACTGACTTTGTCATGTTTAAATATTAACTCATATTTGGGAATCTAAATGAGGGGGTAGAGTCTACTAAAGATCTACAATTAAAAAATTGGCACCTTTCACAGGGGTATTCTATCAGAATAATGCTTTTTTCCCCTAAGACTTTGATTAAAGCTTGATGATCTCCCATGAAAATTCTAAACTAATCAGCTGAAATAAAAAATAGATGAGGATTGCATGAATACTTTATGTGAACAGTAAGAAAGTAAGTCTCTAGTTTTGAGGGATTGTGTTAAAGTTTGCAGGACTACACAGCAGGCAATACCAGGCTGAGTTCCCATTTCCATCCTCCCACAGATGTTACAATAAGGCAGCACAGACACGAAGTAAAAGGCAATCCCAAGCAACCATGCAAAACCAGTTGCGAGATGATAAAACTGAGGGATGGTCTGGCAGGTATGGTCACTGAAAAAAAGACTTCTATAGTAATATAGAAGCAATCCATTTCCATGGGAAAATAGACTAAGAAACTGATTCACAGGCTGATAATCATGTGTGTTACACGAATGATTTTGTATTTTAAATAGTATTTAAAGACAATACTATTTTTTAGCAACTGTCTGTCAATGCAACCACTATTATCTGATGTCTTGCTTATTTCCCTGCTTAGTGTGTAATACCTGCAAGTTTGAATGTGATTTTTGCTCTCAGTTGAAAACAGAAAAATGTGATATTTCTCCCTACAAACCCTCTGTGGGCTTTCTCGTTTCTCAGTGAGGCTTTCTTAACCTGGCATTGAGTCATAAGAATATCATGTGGGGGTCTACATGAAATCTGGAGAGGGGCTTTTGGCAGGTGCCTGTAGAGACAGAACAAGGGGAATGGCTTTAACCTGACAGAGGGGAGATTGAGATGAGACATTAGGAAGAAATTCTTCCCTGTGAGGGTGCTGAGGTGCTGGCACAGGGTGCCCAGAGAAGCTGTGGCTGCCCCATCCCTGGCAGTGTTCAAGGCCAGGTTGGACAGGGGGCTTGGAGCAACCTGCTCTAGGGGAAGGTGTCCCTGCCTGTGGCAGGGGGTTGGAACTGGGTGAGCTTTGAGGTCCCTTCCAACCCAAACTATTCTCTGATTCTATGTGTCTTCATGAGCAGGTCATATTAATGTATAGAGCTGTTTGTGGTCACTACCTATGAATAATTGAATTTGTAGGAGTAGTAGAAACTCTACCTTTCATTTGCTGAGTTCCATCAAAAGTTTTGTAGTCTTCTTTGCTTAGGGTGGTAAAAGGAGATGAGTCCAGTTTAACAAAAAGGTTTATATGATATTTTAAATTATCTGTGCAGCAGGTTAAGGTTTATCTTGCATGAGCATGCATGTCCTGTCTTACAGCGATGCGTAGGAAGCTCATCACAGTCCGGCTCTGCCAGGCTTCTTCATCTTGTGCTTGAGCATCTCTCAAAAGAGAGGTCAAAATGAGAAAGAGGTTGTCTCTTCCCAGCACACAGCTAAGTTGCAGTGAATGGATCTAGATTTCTTGCTGAAGCAAACATGGAAATTACAACTACTGATGAATGCTTTTTCCCTGGAGGAGCTCTGCAGGCAGCCCAGCTCTGTGCTGTAATTTTGGTCTAGGCTGGCAGTTGGAGTCTGACAAAACCTTTGAACTTCACAGCTGTATTTAGATGCCAAAGCCTTTAGCCTGGAGACTCCTTGTTGACTCTTCTCTGTTGACATGGCCTCCATGTAGTCCTGTGTTGTGAATAGTGAATAACCACCCCCTTTTCTTTATTTCAGGAGATTTGTCCTCACCAAGATGAGAGTCATTCCAAAAGGAGCTTTCAGAGGACTCACTGACCTCGAGAAAATGTATGTATCATGTCAGTATTTAGTGGGAAAAACCTATTTTACTTCAAACAACAGTTCCTGGTTGTAGCTCCTTTTACAGCCAGTGATCAAGCCCCTCTCCCTGAGCTTCATCTGGTTTCCTTGGTCAAAGGGTTTTGCTCTGCATGGGGTGTCATTGCGTTTAGTAAATGTAGTGCCATAGCAGGAGATCATGAGAAACTGATTATTTGACAATTTTGGAATGAAACAGTGGAAAGATTATGGAGGAAAAGCTCCTGTTCATAACAGGCCAGCCAATTCTGTTTTCACTAAGGAATAAATAGGATTGGTTTGTGCATGTTCAGAAGCAGCTGGTAGGATGTGAGAGAAGTTTCTTACAGGTGATAGGTCCAAAAATCTTAGCACATAAAGGATGTAAGCCCCTAATTTCTGTGAATTTTAGCGATAAGCCTAACAATTATGAGCACTTTCAATGAACAGATGTATCATACCTGAATTAGTATATTATTGTGGATGTAGAGCAGCCCTCCAACACTAGGAAAAACAGATCCCAAATAATATATTCCCTATTATTCTTTAGCCACAGAATATCTATGGGTTAAGTGGTGCTAGCACCAGAAATTGTAAATGACAGCATCCAGCCTGAACCATTCCAGAGCATGTATGATTTTTCTGTATTATTTCATATATGAGCAAATCACAATATTTTGTTTAGAAACACATCCAGCACTTGCACCCTGACAGGAGAGGGTCACAGTCTGTTCACCCATGAGATGTCCCCACTGACAGTGGGGAAATACATTTGAAAGTCAGTGCCTTTTTCAATGCTGTGTGTAATGGCAAAACTAAAAAGGATTAGATTGCTGGTGTTTCTCTGCATCATTTTTACCTATTTCCCTCATACCCTTGCATAAGTAAGTGATTTAGCAAGAAGGAGAACACACCAGAAGGTATGGCAAGGAAATAGGATTTTGAACCTAGAAAAAGATGGGGATGGAGGGATGAAGACCAAAGAGTGAACATAAAAGGATTCAGGGGTTGCTGATCAGTAGCAACCAATAAAGCTCACATGGCATCTGGTCTTTTCTGAAGTGTGACATCCATTTCAGAGCATCGCTGTAGGTTCAGGAGTCTTCTGTTGGCATGTGGTACACACTGAAAAGCCTCCAGTTCCTGCATCTTACTCATAGATCCAGACCCTCATAAGTCCATCAAGCTGTAAGTGGACATTTTTCTTGACAGAAGAAAAAGAAAGTTGTCTTTTTTGTGGCTAAGGTTTATCAGGACTAAGATCAGCTCTGTTTCAACAGTTTTGTTGGCACTTGTTTCTCCCCAGTCCTGCAGGGCTCCTTTTAGCTTAGTCTTTATGGAAAATCATTGAGCTCTCTGGACTATGAAGTGGGTTGCAAAGTGCATTGTAAACTGCTTCCGTTATCTTTAATTACCCAGAAACCGTATGTCAGATATGTATCAAGGTAGTGATCACATTGAATATGATGTCTCAAAATAGGGATTTATTGTCAACCACAAAAATTATATACGGAAATGAGCTCAATTTGAAAATATATCTATGGACTAGTAGTACTTGGAGGAGAAATAGGGACAGACAATTTATAGCAAAACATCCTTGAAAATGAAAGTGTGATAAATATGTAAATGCGACCAGTCACCATCAACAAAGACGCAGTATTTGCAGATGATATGGCAAACAGATAAAATGGGAAATAGCTCACAAGTCCTAAGCCTAACCCATAAAACATTCATCAGAAATATTCATGATACTGTAGGGACAAAAAAAGTGTGTAATCAAATAATAAATTGCATATAAAACCATGGCCTTTGTACGAAAGGCTTCTTACTCTTGCAGGATCATGCACAGAAAGGAAGATTAAAGCAAACTGTAGTCTATTTAAGGAAAACAGCTATTAATAATGTGATATCTCCATATGGTAAAATGTGGATAGCCTGATGTATACAAATGAGATACCTCAGTGTATTATATGTATGTGCTTATCTAGAACTAGACTAAAAATGAGGAGAGTGACAATATCTTTTGAATATGTTATTGAAGAAAAAATAGTATCTTATACAGTCCAGCATATCTGTACACATGATTTTTATCATTACTGGATCATTTCTAAGTGTGTTTCTGAGAATAGCATAGGTTTTTAAAGCTCAGAAGTTGCAAGGCAGGGGTGGTCTTTGCAATCATCCATTGGGGATAAGCTGGTTGAGTACAATTTAAATGAGAGATGAGTCCTCCATGAGAATCTTATCTCTGATGTATTTATGTTCAAAGTGAGTGAAGGCTTTTGAATACAGTGACTGAAAAATTCTGGTTTTCAAAGAAAAATATTTCAGTAACAATTTTTAGTGTTCCTGCTTTCTGTATGCATCCGAAACAGCTGAACAGCTGAGAGCTTTGAACGTGTCAAATACTTCCAGATACTTGCAGTCAGGCTTAGGTCTCAATAGCCAGGCAAGATCTTGTTTGTTTTCCATTTGGACTGTCCAAGGACTTTCTAGAATGGACACTAGTAACCATAAATAGTGTAGCCTGGAAAGGTCGACACGGAGCACTTCACCTGTACTCCCTTCTGAAGCTCCAGTTTTAGTTACCAAGACAAAATGCTTTGGTTTTCATCTGCTATTTTTGAGTGGTGTCAACATTTTCACTGGAATACTTTTGCCATTTGGAATTTTTTTTGAAAGAATAGGAGCCCATTTGAACCATATCTAAATTTTCATTGCCTTCTCACCCATCTAAATTCCTTCAGTTACTGAAAAACCACGAAATGGCCATTCTGCAAGCTGTCATCTAGAGGAAAACTTTCCCCAGGTGTGTTCTGGGAGGAAGATCTTTTCTGCTTAGATAGAATGTTTGAAGCTATGAAATAAACTGACAGGCTAGAATTATCTGAGCTGCCTCTAACTAAAGGTGCAACTTGGATTTTTGTACAGAAAACTACTTCAGAAACCCACAGATCTGAGGAACAGCCTTAACCAGCTTGGTGCTGGCAGCTCCCCAACTTCTGCACGGCTCTGGCTTCATGTTAATTTAGCAAATAGGTGTTCAGGGAAGCAGATTAGTTATTCTCGCTACATGTTTAGTCTACTCCGAAGTCCTAGCCAACTGGAACGTGGCAGCTCATCTGGACTCCTGCTTAACCAGCCTGTTTACACTCCAAGAACTAATTAACCCTCCAGTAACTAAATTAAAAAGCAGCCCCACGAAGGCACATGCCTGACAAAATCAATTCAACATGCTCTGCAGCTGCTGTCATCTTCAACCTGCACTGAAAGTACTTAATTTGGAGGAGAGACAGTATAAAGCACTATTAACTTTCCTGTCTTCTCTTGCTTACTTTCCTCCTATTACTATAAGATAGCAAAGTAGATTTTGAATGTTGGTCTAGCAAGGCCTGGTTCAGGGATCTTATTTACAGGAAGTCTGGACTTACTGCCTTACCCTGTGCAAGCCAAAAGGGGCTCAATCCCCTTGAAAATTCATCATCTGTTATTTATTCTTTTGAGAGGTCTAAGCTAAAGCATAATGCTTTATCACTCATTTTCAAACCCAATCTGTGTGCAGCCCAAGGAAATTCAGCCATGTGGGTGAAACACTTCTTGAACTAGAAGATGTGAGAGAAAAAATGGCCCTGTTTTGTATGTTGGAGTAATAGGAAAAGGGCATTTCTTTATCAGATTTTGGCAAAGACAGATTTTGTGGATCTGAACCATGCTGTGGTTAACAGAGCTTGATGAGATAGATCCTTGATAAGCTCTGAAAACTCTGGAGAGCTAAAACTTCTAGGGTGGAAGGAAGCTGCCAGAGTTGACACTCCTGGAAATTGGAGTCTTCTGTCTGTGGAAGACAGCAGGGATATATGCACCAGCTATCTACAGCTTCCTCATGAATTTGTAGAGAAAATACCCCTGAGTCAGGAATTTGTTTAATCACTCAGTGCATTCAGGCTTTTGTGTTTTTTTGCTGAGACTGTTGATCCAGTGATGGTTTATACGAACAAACAGTGCTGGTCTGAAACCTAGGCTACAGGAGCACCAGCTTATTTTGTATACAGCAACCAACCTGATGTGATGCTAAGATTTCTCCTGTTTGCCCCATGCAGGCTAAAAGATAGGTCCCACTTTCCTTTGACTTAATTAGATCAGATTGAGATACCTTTATGTTTTATCTGTACTGAAGTGAGGTACTTGAGGACAGCGGAGAGCGCTCAACAGAGTATTCTGAGGCACATGTGAAAGTACATTGCTGAATCAAGGTGTATCTCTCTTCCTGTGAGTGGGGAAGGAGCAAAGTTCTTGGCTTGATAGGTAAAAGTCTCATCAGGAAAATCTGGCATAGTGTGAAGTCTTCACAAGTTTTAATGACCTGGTGAATTGGTGGATTCACTGTCCAGACCTTCTTTAGCAGTAGCCATTAAAGCTTTCTGGGATAGCAAATAGCTAAGGCAATGTCCATCATCCCATGTGCTCCTGATATCAGTTTCATTCAGCCGTAGCATATGATGCTGTCACACTTGGCAGCACGTAGACCAAAAAGATGGGAATGAAGGGGCAGAAGCAGAAATCACATGGTCATTTAAGGACGAGCAGTCTGTGTCTTCTGCTACCAAGAAAGCTGGTCAGTATTTTGCAGCTTCTACATTTTGTCTTGCACAGTGTATTGTGTACTGTCTCATTTGGTATGCAAAAGGTTGTGATTAAATCAGATCATTAAAACTATTATGAGAAAAGGGTTAGGATTCTGTGTAACCAAGACATTCGGAAATTGGTTCTAGGCAGGAGTTCCTTTCTATCTTCTGCATCATCTGGGTAAGTCTGCTATTTGTTTGGCAGGTTTTTGTAAGAAGCAAAAAAAGGAGGATCTTCTGTGATGTGTAAGTTAAATAGTGCCTGTTTACAGAAATATTTATTTACATACCTAAGGTGATAGGGGGACACAGTGCATTCTGCATACCAAAACCCACACTGAATCAGGTAACAATCGTATGTTGGTA